TGCATCTGTCTCGCTAGCCCAAGCCAGCCGCGTCCGTCCCTGGGGTCCAGCTCGACGCACGTGCGGTACAGCCGCCGCGCCTCCCGGTAGTCCCCCTGTTTTATTCGTATCACGGCATTGTGGGTATCATTCCACAGACGTTGCAACTTCATGCCAAACAACACTGCTGTTCGATTAAGTGTATGCCTGTATGAGTACTACAAAACACTCATGTCTTGCACCGCGACATCACACCCATTTACACTGCCGGTACTTCTAACACAAACAATCAAACATTTATGGACGTCCGTTATCTGCCCAATAAACAAAACGAGAACATGTAATAATCCATTCCACATATCGTGCACTAAACAGGTGTGCCACATAAGTTCGTACATGCGTGACCAAATTTTAAAGTTACACCATGAACCTCCACCGCTGTACCGTCGTCCGTATGTCACGCCAAAGATTGAACAGCTACATGCACGGCTGACGCGTTCCACAAAATCTATCGACCGAAAGGTTGACATCAAACCTCATGTTTACACGGCACCCCACATCTTCCTTACCTTGATGTTCTTTTGCTTGGCCTGGTAACTCAGCAGGTCGAGGTTGATCTTGAGCGGCCGCCCCGTCCGTTCCTGCCCGGCCCCGTTCCCCCCCGCGTTGTTGCCCACAGCAGAGGCGGCCGGACCGGGCACCATAGCGTCGTACTCCTCGAAGAGCTCCGCCTCCACCTTGGCACTAAGCTCCGTCTTGTTGCTCGCTGCTGCGGACCCCGCAGGCGGCGACTTCTGAGGTACAAGCAGCAGTAAGGGGTGGAGGTGAAGGGAATGCAGGGGCCGCCTGCGCAGAATTTCAAGATTATCTAGAAAAAAAAGAGGGAGGGGGCACGCAGACCCTATCCCTAACCCTAACGCACGGATTAATACTCTATCCCATATGTTTGCTTAATCAATCTTGCTGCCCAGACTACTGGGAGGCAGAAAGGAAGCGGCGTAATGACACCGAACGATAAGAGAGCTGGAATTTGTTGGAAATGGTGTGAGGATAACAGCGGCACTGAAGTAGATTCTGCGGTACACCAGTAGTTGTGCCAAAGGGGGTGGGGGGCGGATTGTGAAGGATGCACAAGCAGCAGTACTTTCACACCAAACCAAACAGAGGTGGGATTCATTGGGAAGCAAGATACAGCCGTAGGTAGCGCATCGAACACACAATCAACAGCCGAGAGGAGGAATTTGGTGGAATAAACTCGAGAATAAAACCTTAGTCCACATATTCACCCAAAACAAACAAGAGCTCTTAACATGTCGAAAACGCGACGGCAACCGTGCGATTAAGTTGAGGTGTCTTCTTTCGTCTCTCCAAGTGGAGTTGGCAATGCAACAATATAGCTTTTCGGGTGTTTTGAGGATGGGATCACAGCAGTAGCCGTCGCTGAATACGGCCGCACGAAGAAGGCCGATCGCCCTGAGAAAGGCCGGGGAGTCCGCGTGCCGCAGATGGAGTATTTCAGTGCCCCGGGCGCCCAGTATGTACGCGGCTGGCCAAATCCCTCCGCACTGAGCGGCCTTAAACAGGGACTACCACACGTGCAGGTGATACGTTAGGTTTCTTAATTCCGTGGGGGACCCGCCGGACAAAAAATTCTAACCGTTGTCACCCGCAGCTTCCGCAACTTAGCGGTTTAACACTCGGTCGGTCGAAATGGTAGTTTCCCATGGTGGTCTCCACGTTGGAATAGTACACCCCCCCCACCACCCTCTTACCCCAGCACGATCAAGTGCCTTACCAACACGGTGAACTTTGCCTCGCATCAACCGGTGCTGCCAGGGTTGTTAGGGTTAGGCTCCTCAGCTTCCTCGTCCCCCCGCCTGCCCTCTAGATGCTCGGGGGGTTGCGTGAGCTCTCGGGTAAACCGACCCGCCTCCCACCCATCTACCTGGGGGGGCGGGGGGCGGGACGACAGGAATGCCACAACGCCTACCATCGGACCGCCTTCGCGAGAATTCAGTCAATGAGGAAATAGAACAGGGAGGGAAGGTAGACCCTTATTCCCTAACCCTAGTCCTGACCCAAATTCCCCGATTGCAAGCCTTATCCAACATGGTTACTTAATAGAAAAACTCTACGAAGGCTACTGCTATGATGCATATCATCGAATCCTTCGCCACCAAGATGACGCTATACCTGTGAAAGGATCTGGTCGAACATGACGAGTTCCTTGAGCGTTTTCCCTTGGCCCTCCATCTCCGCCGCCCCGCCGCTATCTCTACCCTGCCCCCCCCGCCCCCTGCCCTGTCCACGGACCCCCCTCTTCCCTCCCCCCCGTCGAACGCCGTTAAAAACAGCTGTTCGGGGCCGGGCCTCCGCCCCCCTCACCCTGGGGTCCCGNCCCCGCCGCTATCTCTACCCTGCCCCCCCCGCCCCCTGCCCTGTCCACGGACCCCCCTCTTCCCTCCCCCCCGTCGAACGCCGTTAAAAACAGCTGTTCGGGGCCGGGCCTCCGCCCCCCTCACCCTGGGGTCCCGCCCCCTAGAAAAGGCTCTAGACTGAGACGCTCTCGGTGGCGTAGCGTTCCCGTTCGAGACTCCTCGCCCTTGTCTTGCTGGCGGACCTCGAGCCTGCGGCTCTCTACCCGCCTGGTGTGTTGCGGCTGGTCCGTTCGCCGATTGTGAGGGTCCCGAATCTCCGTTCGGGTCCCCCACTCCCCCCCCTCCCCCGCCCGGCTGCGCGTTTGCTAGCCACGTCTGCGGCGGTGGAAATAGGCGGATGCAGCACGCCGGGTAAGGGTTTCGATTAGGGTGAGACCGAGAAGAGTAGCTGGTAGCAGGCGCGTGGGTTGGCGTTAAGAGTATCAATGGGTGTGGAGACTGCATCGCGGCATGCCTGAGGCGCCGTGCGGAGGTTAGCAGAGGCACGATTGTCGTAAAAGACGAAAAGACAAGTACAGTTGTAGTTTTGGTCTCGTACCGTGGAGCAGTGAGGCGGCAGCGAATCCCGACCTACTGTGCGGGTATTAAAACGGCTATGTTGCATATACATCAAGCCGCAGGAGTGAGATAGACGCCGATGCGTCGATTCGTCTACCGGACCGCATGGCCCCAGCAGAACGTTGTTGAGACCCCAACAACAACAACAACACTTCGTACGCATACAAACAACAACAACCCTCACCTGCCCTCGCCGCCTCCCGCTTCTCTCCCGCCTCCGCGCACCGTAACTCCACCGCCCCTTCCCTGCTCTCGCCGCCACGTCTCGTCCCCCGCGACCTACTACCGCCGTTAACTGAGGCCACCAACCATGCGAGTCCGCCAGGTTGGTGTTGCAACTCCCATCGGGCCGACCCCCCCCTCCCGCAAAGCCCCCTGGCCAATCTATCGGCGCGATTGGGGCGAAAGCACAGACTACGTTGCCTCCCCCCGCCGTCGCTACCATCGCCAGGATGAGCCCCGCCGGGAGCGGGCGAGCTGAGGACGTGTTGGCGGGAGGGGGAGAGGAGGGGATAATAATGGGTAGGATGTCTACGGAAAATGATCCCAACTATCAAAGAGCTTGCTTGCTTCCTGTGAAAGCTGTTGAGATAATTCGGAACTCTTCAAATTTTGATGAGTCCCTGCACGTTGCGGCTCCATCGCCAATGAAAGATGACATGTGCAGCAGGTACAGCAAAAGGGGGTGCAGCGGGAGATGATGGAGTGTGGGAGTGAGGGGATCAGCGCATCAACTACAATACAACCGCTGTATCCGCACGTGTGATTCACGCATCCATTTTCACGTGATGGCAAACGAGCTGACAGAGTGACACAAATCCAGCCACTGTGACATTTCGCAGATGCTAGCAGCTTACCGAACGGGATTCGATCAAGACAAGCATCACTGCGGCTGTTGTTCTTCCCGTCGGAGTCTGCTCCCGGAGATGGAAGCTGCGCCTGCTCTTTTTTGCCACTGCTCCTCGCTGCCGCAAAGGCGTTATTGAAACAACATCCTACGATTCGAGGTACGACCCTCTGCTCATGCCTGATGCCTGGGAACAGCAGTGCTGCTGTTGTCATGACCGCTTGAGCCAAGCGCGTGTGTCTGTGACGGCCAAGAGTTGCTCTACCCAGCACATGCACGAAGCAGCGCAGGCGTGACACCGAGACTGCTGTGTTGGCGGAAAAAATGCTCGGTTCGACTGCTGCACAAAAAAATCACATAAATAAGCAGCAGGCAATGGAAACTACATACAAGAGTGGGTCTAGCTTACGCCCTGCCGTAAAAAACACGCAGGTACAAGTACCTTACGTCAGCTGCTGGAATGCTCCTGTGCGAAGCACCGAACATACCCGACAGCACGCCAGAATAGCATTCGTAGATTGCAACACAAATAGACTGCTTGCTGCTGCTGCCGGCGACCGATGTTTAAACCATCCTTGAGAGCACATGCACCAGCAGGACTGCAGGTGCACGTGTTGAGGCGGCGAGCCCTAACACAAGGCACGTGGAGGTTGCAACGACCCACGGTCAGACACAAAACCGATGCAATGCATGTCTGGGTTGCCTGTACAAAGGGTGTTTTATCTAGCTCATGTGTAATCCGAGCTCGCGCGAACATCGCTGGAAGCGGCGCAATCTTGGTAGTGCAACCAGGCTTCATGTCACATCTTTTCAGCGGGCCGATAACGGGGCAGGCGGCCGCGCAGCGGCCGGTGCGCGTACCATACCATGCGCCCAGCCGACATCATGACATCACCTCTCTCTGCTAAGCCAAAAGGCTACACAGGCACCCACCTGGCCTGCCAGCGCAGAGCGTGCCTCGGTCAGCAGCAGTCGCTCTTCGTGATGTTGGTGTTGTCGACACCGCCCCCTCTACGCCCGAGCTCGCCAGCGTGGCCCCCGGCACCCTTCGGAGTCTATCTCGCCTCACCATGGAAAGCCCCGAGGCTACTGGAAAGTCGTAGCCAAAGCAACTAGCGCCTGCGCCGGGTTAAAGGCGCTGCCGTGGGCGTGTATGCATGCGTGATGGGCCGGGAGCAGGGGGCACGCCAATGAAAATTAGAGGGGGAGGACTGCAGCGAGGCCGCGCGAGACAATAAAGCCCTGAGCAGCGAGCCGACTTCATGCACGCAGAGGGCGGAACACGCACTAAACTATCCACGCAACGCAAGCAAAGAGAAGTAATCATGATGCAATCAGCATTCTTGTGCGCGTTGCTTGCGGCTGCCCATGCGCCGGCGGCTTCTGGCTTCATGCCAGCGGGACTAGCACCTCGTCTGTCCTCCTCAAGCAGCAGGTGTGATTATGATGAGATGACGAGCTACCGCGGTGTACACAGCAGCAGCTCATGCTGCATCTTTCTCGCGAAACACAGCAACCAACGTGTACCCTCGCGACGTAACCCACGACCAGAACTCCCGTCGCTCTTTGTTGCCCGACTCTGGCGTCCCCCCTTCATTTAAACAACCGCTATGTAGTGCCGAAGGTCCCTCTTAAATCAATTCCCACGTCCCGCGATGAAAACAAATCTGTCTGCTGCTGTCTGCGTTCAATATCACTATGATACCAGGCAGCAGGTATCCTCCGCTACGACGCGCATGGCCCTTAGTCCGGAGGGTGGCCAGGGACAGAGCAGGGGGGAGCTGCTGCAGACGGTTTGGAAGACAGCCTTGACAGCGGGCGCCGCGCAAACGCTGCTCGCGTCCTCGGCCCTGGCAGAGGTGAGCGAGGCGAAAAACAGCGCAGACGACTTGGCTTTCGAACGAGAATCATCGAACGTCACAGGAGGTGTCTGACTCTCTCTCTGACATGAAACCCCCAGGGTAGTCATTTCCAACGTGTCTCGGTCGGTCGCATATTGGAGAGCTCACCGAATGAAGGAGTTGGAGAATCGAATTCGCCCATAAATCTGGTCAGAGAACCGCAGTATATAGCGTCCGCGAATTTTTGGGTTACACTCTATGAGGTTTTGTCTACAATGTTGAATCAATCCCTTGCGTGTGTGAAGTTTTTTTTTTTTTTGGCCGAGAACATGAGAGTTGTTCAGAGCATGACTCACGGAGCACGCGTTGCAAAAGATCGTCATTCAGGCAGCAGCACCAACAGCAGCACTACACTAATTACTTCTGTCCCCCCGACAGCTTACGCGTCTGGACAACGTCTAAATAGCCATGCCTGTGTCGAGCATGGTGCATTGCCGTAGTATCATACAGTACGATTTAACATGCATACCAAAACAGCAGTACCTTACCCCGACGAGTATGTTGACGATCACCCAGAAGCGGCGGGCAATGGGTGGGATACCAGCGACAAACATTCATGACTTATGTAGGGGTATCAGTCCAGCTACAAGTATGCCTTGAGTACACCTCCCACTACTGTTGTGTGACAGGCACCTTCGTAGCTTGTGCCAGTATGGGTATGTTCCGTGGTGGGAAATGTCGACGAAAGAAGCACCATGATGGGTACTGGATTATGTACAATACCACGAGGATGCGGGTCGTCGCATGGATATAGGAGTCGCACGGGGTTGCGAAAAAGAGGCAAGAACCAAGTTTTTCACAACTCGATTTCCACACGTTATCAGAGTCATTGCACGTGTCGGAAAATCGCACGGATGCGATAAGAAACGAACTATTTGCACCAAATGATTCAACAACACGATCGCACGGGGGTGCGATGACTCGCATCATTTTATCGATGTGCTGAAGAGTCGTGGGATGTTACTTGCGAAATACGATAACTTTTGCGGCATTTTCCCCGTCCCAACCCCGTCTCCTACACTGCTGCCAGCCATCATACCGACGGATTAACAGGTTGACCATTGTTTTCTAATTTTGATGCTCGTCGCTTGTTCCATTCCTTCTCTACCCCAATCCAGACTCTCCTCTACAGCCGCTTTCGTAGCGCGCGGGGGTTTCGCAGAATGCATCTTCGTTTCCATGAGACACCTCCGACGTTTCCTCTGCGAGCCCCCCTCAGCCCCCTATCTCCGATCCACACTTTTTGTGGAGATTTGTCGGCTCACGAGTCAATACTACAGCTATAATAGCACCCGCACCTGAGAACTCGGCAGAAACTAGCTTGATGCTCAATGCTCAACATTATCCTCAAAACACAAGAATTTGAGAACCATTTAGCATACGTGAACCCGGTTGAGAACCCCGTGCATCAGACTTTATTCAGACTGTTTTTTCCGTGAAATTGCAGGAAATTCATCCCTCTCTCGGCGCACCACAGGCCGCCATTTTTTCTTTCACTTGGAATTAGACTGGCGGGTCTCCTCTCTCGGCGCACCACAGGCCAGCATTTCCAGGTCGGCCATCTCGTTCTTTGCTCTCCCTGTCACTTCAAGTGCAATCGACCGAGGCCTTTGCCGCTGTCTTCGGTCCCTCTGCACGCAGTGCTTTCGGGCTCTTCACTCCCAGTCAGTGCTTCAATCAGTGAGGGCTCCCGTTTGGAGCAGCATTCTGCACCTCGCACGCTCACTCCTTCTTTGTTTGCGCTCATCGATCAGCAGTCATCCTCGCATGCCCCGCAATCAACCATAATCGGTGCTGTCATCCACGTCATCACCCACGCGTTTCCGCGAGCAGATATCCCTCGCTTTCCGTGTCCCTCTCTTTCTCTCTCTCTCTATCTCTCACGCTCTCTCTCTACTCTCTTTCTCTCTGATTCTCACTCTCATGTGCCACATACAGCAGTAGCCACCTGCTTCGTAGTCCAAGAACTCAGGCGCTCGGTGACACTCTTCTCGTTTCAATCAGTAGTTTTGTAGTCTGCAGTCATCCAATATTATAGCCCAGTCTCAGTGAAGTCCATGTTTGTGTAGGCACACACGGGATTCATGTGTACGCACACAAAGTGGAATCCACACAGCAAATCCATGTGTACGCACACACTGCAATCTATGTGTACGCACATACAGGATTTGAGTCTTTGATGTGCCTGCAGTCATCCGCTGCGCGGGCCAGATATAGTTCAGTGGATCCATGTGTACGCACACACAGGAAGGCACGGAGAAGCAGAGTTTTTTCGATCTTGAGTCGTGGTCAGGTCGTCGTCTGTGCGCTCGCAAGATATTAACCCCAAGATATTACAACCATGGGTGACGCTGCTTCTCGGCGCCGCCCGCACAAGTTCGGTTGCACGCATACGCTCCTCACTCCTCAAGCTTTCCCACATCACACTCTTACCCAGCCTTCGTTGAGTGTCTCTCCTGCTCTTCTCTTTCGTAGATGTGGGAAAGGCGCAAAAACACAAACATCTTTCAGACGGTTGCCTCTCCTGGCTGTAGCGCCAAGCGCAAAACTTCCGACTACGTATTTGGCGAAGTCCTCGGGAGGTGTGTAAACGCCAATGGTGACGGGGCCGACTTGACCCGTTGCTGCGCGACCTTGGCGGTTGCGCGAATTACGCCAAGAACGGCTGGAAGATTTCCGTGCTATCATTGGCATCTCCCTGCACTACCTACCTGGTGGACATCTCTCAGGATCCCCTGCCTCGGCGTCCCCAACCCTGCTGCGCCCAATTCGGGGAATGCTTGTTAACTGTTGTGTAGCCACCCGTCGTTCCTTAACTTTTGACGAGTTGTTACTGGGGGTGTCCCTGACATAGCCCGTCAATCAATTCGACTTTCGGTTCGAGGTTCTTTTTCATTTGTTTTAGCCATGGTTCACGTTAGAAACTCATTTCACCAACATCGGGAAAAGCACATCACACGCAAACATCACGTGACAAATTCCTCTCGGGACCGGTGAAAAGCTGCGACATTGTTTGCATTCAGCCGGTCATGCCAAAACACATGAACGTCGGGAAAAGCACGTGACCCAAACATCATTTCCTCGATGCCCACGTCTCATCAGTCGTATCACTAGCACAACAACGTGTCTTCAGCACAAAAACAAGCACCTTGGAATCGCTTCTCTAGCGCGTGGCGGCGGAAGCCGCCGAAACCCTTGTATAATACTTCGAAGCAGAATTTTAAATAGAAGCTGTATTGCGGTTGATTGTAGCGCACAAGAGGAACTGAGAACCCCAGCCTCGGCGAAAAAGTAGAGATTTGAGAACTATTTAGCATACGTGAACCCGGTTAAGAACCGCTACACTATTATAGAACTATTGTAACGGCTGATTGTACGAAAGCCCACGAGAGGAACTGAGAACCCCAGCCTCGGCGAAAAAGTAGAGATTTGAGAACTATTTAGCATACGTGAACCCGGTTAAGAACCGCTACACTATTATAGAACTATTGTAACGGCTGATTGTACGAAAGCCCACGAGAGGAACTGAGAACCCCAGCCTCGGCGAAAAAGTAGAGATTTGAGAACTATTTAGCATACGTGAACCCGGTTAAGAACCGCTACACTATTATAGAACTATTGTAACGGCTGATTGTACGAAAGCCCACGAGAGGAACTGAGAACCCCAGCCTCGGCGAAAAAGTAGAGATTTGAGAACTTTTTAGCATACGTGAACCCGGTTAAGAACCGCTACACTAAATTAGAACTATATTAGAACCTGTGTAACGACGGACTGTACAATAGCCCACAAGACGAACTGAGAACCCCAGCCTCGGCGAAAAATTAGAGGTTCTTGAGTGCGGGTGCTATCTGTAGCAAGCCCTACCCCGCTAAAGAACAAATAAAAAGAAAGATCCACAATGCTTCCACTGATACTGTAATTGTGCGTGTTATCACACCCCCGTCTTAGCGTTTTTCTGTAGCGTATTTCTCCACAACTGTAGGAGGGTGCAAACGCTAACTTATACCTCTCCGGGAAGCCCTCGACGACATGTTTTCAAAACCACCCTTTACGGGGGTGCGATCACACGCACAATTATGGTGTGTATCCCACGGGTGCGACCTGAGGCGTGGACCATGGTTGGGTTACAGAATACAGTCATTTTCAAACCTCCGAGCCACAGTCGGTTAACTTGCCTGGACTGAAGTCGATGTCCTCTGTTTCCATCACCCGTGTCAAGTAGCCTGAAGAATGCCACACATACAAACTACGTCGGCGCGAATTTGATATCCTCGCCTTGTTGTCTGTGGCTAGTAGAGAAAATTAAATGGGCTGTGTGTCTACCGGCGCAAAATCTCACGACTTCTAACAGAGCGGCCCCCCACCCCCCTTGTAGAACCATATCCCGAAGGCCCCCCTAGCCATAGTCCAAAGGGCAGTTCTTCGTTTGTTGGAAGCTTCAGAAGCACACACTACTTTGGGATTGATCCATCAATCGCGATGCTCACGTCTTCCTCGTCTACTCCCGGCCCCATACACCACCTGTTGCGACGGAACAGGACTCCCTGACAACGGCGAGTGGCCTCAAGATCAAGAAGCTGGTGCAGGGCACCGGTCCCGTGGCGGAGCAAGGGGACCTCATCGGCGTCCGCTTCAAGGGCAACTACGGCACGTACGAGTTCGACAACATCTTCAACACGGCGGAGCCGTACTACATGCGCGCGGGGGTCGGGACGCTCGTAAAGGTTAGTTGGATGTGATGATAGTTTCCTTGACTCTAGTGTGTTGTGTCTCTCGTACGGGGGCGTCGGGGAGGCCTCGTTGATGATGTGACGATAGTTGACTTTCGTGTTTCTCATTCTTGTCGAAGGGGCCTTGTTAACGATGAGATGACGATGAATTTCTTGACTCTCGGCTGTTTCTCATGCTTGTACCAAGAGGCCTTGTTAACGATGAGGTGGCGATGAAATTCTTGACTCTCCTATTTCTCGTTTGTGTGCGAGAAAAGGGCGTGGAGGAAGCGTTGTTAATGATGAGGGTGGGCGACAAGTGGCAGCTCACGTGCCCGGCTAACCTCGCCTTCGGAAACAAGGGCCGCCCACCGAGCCCCGGAAGGCCGAGGTGAGAGGACAAGACTTTTACGTTTGATCGGGTCCCTCCGGTAGCATTTTTGGCGCAGACGCGATTATTGCTTCATGCGGCAGCTACAGATGGCTGTGCACTTGGAGAGATGCACGAGCTATCGTATCTACAGTACGTCTTGGGAGTTGCAACGACTGCGCACGGCAGGCTATTTACTGGTGTTTCTTAAGGCACTAACATCTAGTAGGGTGGTGGAACGGAAAAGTTGTCGCCTGCAGAGCACGTTCAGCGTGTAGTCTTTGATATCTCACGCCTGTAGCACAGAGGAGAATACTTACAGTTGAACCCCACGAGTGGTGATTGAAAAATGATCTGTCAGCAGGGGGTAAAGCCCCTCAGCCCGAACACAGAGAAGGGCGTTTTCACGTTTTCACTGGGGGGGGAGGGGTGTACTCATAGACGTGCATGCCGTAGTCGTTAGACCATTGACCTCGCATCCCTACCAAGCCGGGATGGAACACGCCGGGTTCTCACCGGACTAGGCTCTTACATCACCACGCGCGAAGCGCCGTGAGGTATTCGGCGAGTCGCCTGAGGGGTGAGTTGCATCCTGCTAACGGTGTTCGGCATCTTGTGCTTACTTCCTTGCATACGGATGACAGCTGTGAAGGATTTAATGAATTGTCTGGTGCCTTTACTTCCAGAGACAGTTGTAAGCACTGTGTAACTTCCTCGAGGGTACTTGACCAATTGAACACAACGTGGTGCAATCATCCCCTTCGCGGGGAGTGAGGGTTCTCGACCCCGCACAACATAGTCTACTCGACAACCATTTTCGGTCACCGCAAAAAAAAAAAAGAAGCGGTAACCTGGTTGCCGAGCTCATTAAGTGATCGGCTTGTTCTACCAAGTCGTTACCAAGCAACGAAAACCCAACCCCGATGGCAAACACCGGGGCGGGGGAAGGGGGGCACCACTAGGGGGGGGGGGTTGTTGTCCTCTTCGACGAAGTTACACCTGCTTGTTTGTTTTTTGCTTGTGGTCGTTCGTCGTGTTATGTTATCACAATGTCGTTGTGGCCGCCGCCACAGGACAAGAGAGGCGACACTAAGCTTCCGATACACCGGGCCGGCCAGCGAACGCATGTTGACGCAAGTATGACCGCTCGTACCCGCCGCAGGATCCCTCCGGGCGCAGACGTGGAGTATACCCTGGAGCTGGTAGCCTTGCCCGGAAAGGAGGAGGACATCGTCGAACAGCGCACCGGCGACACCTTCACGGGCAACGCCTTCGACGACCAATAGAAAGAACACCCCCGTTTAGTAGAGCTTAAGTTCAGAACCACCGCCACGCGGTATCTAACAAGTGTGTGCAGCCAGCCGGCCGTGCGCAGCAAGCCGTTAGCAGGATGGGTGCATGTGGGCATGAGACAGCTTGCTGCTGCTGTGGCGAATTGGAGGGGGTGGTTGAGCGTGTTGTTGCCATGGTCGTAGCCAGGTCAAGGTGGCCTCTTTCCGTATGGAGGGGAGGCGGAGAAAGCATGTGCCGAACAGGGTGGTGGATGAAAGTAGGAAACCGCTGTCCTGGTGATGATGTTAGGACGAGCGCGAAGGCAACGAATATCGGGATAACTGGCAGCAATAAAACCTTCCACGCAAGAGACCCCCCAATTATTGTACTGAACTGGCCACATGCAACAGGGGGACTAGATAGATGACAGCCCTTGCCGGAATAGTGTGTGTAGAACGCTTATTCAAGGGCGGTGGAAACCCATCCCGTGCCCCCCCCCCCTGGGTGTGCATACTTTCCATTCCTGTCCGCAGTGCCTCGAGCCGAATAGGTAGAGTAGGCTCTTTTTGTTTTACTTTTTGCGGTGTGTGACTGACGGAGCGTGCGTCGGAGAGAGAGAGGCAGCAGCATCGCTCGTGCGTTTGGTGGTCGATAGCCGGCGTTCGAGCCGCCAATCTGGTTTGTTTTGGAGGCTAGTGAAGGTCGGCAGTGGCAAGATAATGGGGCGTAGGTGCATCTTGCGTCGGTTTGCAAAGGTGTCTCCAAATAGATGAGCATCCCTGAGAGGGATCCCGCGATTGACATTTTCTTCACGCGCGCCCATGTTCTTGGAAGCGTGTGACACATATAGAGCGTTGTCTAGCCTGATCAAATGGCGTCGGGCCGGTATAGC